CTACACTATACAAGTTCATTCACAATTTAACTTTCCTTCCCGTTCTCAATGTATATACAGTAAGTATTTTTCAGCCAACATAGAATCTATCTTCCTCTTGGACTTATTAAGACAATTCTTTCCTGTCATGTAATACGAGCTTGTACTGGTGCTGCTCAGGATGAAAACTCTTTGCTATATAAAAATCCTTGTCCAGGAACATGCTCTGCCTTAGAACAAAGAGGTTCTGAATACTAGTTTGATGGACATTCCTTAGAAATTATTTGTTCTCTATTGACTACTGTATACAGAAATATCACCTCCAGAACGTAAAGAAAAAAAAGAAGTCTCCTTACCTGATTCCTGTCACGTGCACTTGTATACCTGATCTTCTGGATGAAGTAAAATATTAACCATGCTGAAGAAATTATCATCAAAACAATGAATGATATTGACACAAAGACTAGAGATCCCCGACTGAAGTTTTTTGGAGGAACCCGGGACCCCACTGCTATTGCCATCAGGACAGAGATATTCTTTTCCAAATAATTCAGGATCTCCTTAACCTTTGATTCTGTAATCATGACAGCAACAATGTCTCCAGTTCCTATAAAAAGAGAAAAACATTTAATTTACATTTAAAATTAACATGGTACGCTGCTGACGAGATTTTCCAATGCACAGCCATTCGACAAATCAGATAATTTAATGTAAGCCATCCATGGCACTAGGAACATGCTACTGGGCACTCAACTCATGGCTTGTCCTTCAAACCTGCATTTTCAAATTAGGGCATTAACATGCAAACTGTCTGCAGCTCCACACATAGTAACAGATCTCTACTGGTGGTTACACAGCACTTCCCACATTATAATTACTGTGTGCAGTCTGAAGTAGCTTTAAATTTGTTCCAGATTTGAAGCTGTGAATACCTAAATAGGTAACTCCCAGAAAAACATTTAGAAGACAAGTTCAGTGATATTGCTAGAGTGGTCTTAGTATACACAGTGCTGCATACAGGTTGCTCTGGAGAGTTATGCAAGTTCTCCTGTATGGTTATGAGGCTTTCACATGCCACGAAGGTTGTCAAGGACCTGTAAATCACACTTGCAGCACAGAAGCAACAAAGCCAAATTTCTACGTACATCACTTCAGAAGTGAAGCACTTCAGTAAGTAATAAATCTGGCTGCAAAGTAGGAGAAATTAAAACAAAACAAAAAAAAGCCCCAAAAAATCTTGGCAGAAGTTTGAGTGCTGATTTTATCACCCATACAAAGACACACTTGATAAGATCACAAAGAGGCTTCAGCTTCATCAGCTCCATTTTGAATGTGTATCCCATCTGCTTTTCATAGTGTCCTGCCTCTAGACTACCTCCTGTCCCAAAGGGAAGATTCTTGGCAGATGGATAATAAGAGAATTAAACCACAGGACTGCTGAAAAAAAGAACAAAAATCACCCGCAGAGCAGAGAGAGTACCTATGTTTTAAAAGCAGAGGCCCCATGAAGAAGAGGATCTTGAACTCATGGCAATTCTGATGTAAGTTCAAAGAAATTAAACTTTATAGGAAAGCCAAAGCCAGAAATAAAGCCTTATGAGTGCCATTCTTATTCATCCAGATCTATTTGCTTCCTAAATGAAAACCTCTTTCAAGACCTATTTTCAAAATGCCTGCAAAGTCTGCTCATCTGTTTGCTCCATCTGCTCGCTCCAATTCACATTCCCCCAGAAAGGAACTGTATAATGCAGGCGACTTCCAACACCAAGATTCTGGATTTAGAGTGGATTTAAGTTATGGAGAACCTAATGTGACAGTGAAGAGAGAACATGAGTTCCTATTTTAACACCAGGAATTTGTTCAAAGTCTTTTAATAAAAATCTGATTTTTAATAAGTTATTGTATGCACAAAATTATGTGGAAGACCCAAAAGAGCAGCATCTTTGAAACCCAGGGCACAGTAAGTGAGGATGACAGACCCAGACAGCTACATAATTTTCCAAAATGGGGGCTTTAATACAGTTGTATAACAGTCTTAAACGTTCTCATTACTCTTTCCATTCACCATGCCAAGTAGTAACTTTTACAGTCACTATCCTCAGTTTTCAAAGCAAGTTCCCTGACACTGGTGGTGTGGATTGTGCTGACAGAACTACTTAGAAGAATTAAAGCTGATAATCTCAAAAATTAAGATTTACACAATTATTTAAAAAATATTTAAATATTTTTAATACCCCCAAATTGTTTTCCCCCAGAAATGTCAACTTTTCTTTATTTGAAATTGAAATGGTAAAGACATTCATGCCTTGTCCTAGTAACATCAGTCTAAGTAGGAAAAGAATGTTCAGTGTTTCCTTCTGGATGAGTATTTTTGAAACAAGTGTCACAGTAACTCAAAAGCTTTGAATAGCAATGAAAACCCAACACAATTTATGGATGCAACTTAGTTAATCACTAGTATATCACAGCTTCACACAAGGTCCACTTTAGTCCAGCTCTCCAGAGACACTTCAGTTGGAGATGTACTGAGTTTGGTTTCATGCAAGCTAACCAAGACATTCAGTAGGCAGCAAAGCTCAGAAACGGGGTAAAAATCTACCCCTTGCTTTATTTTCAGAGGAAATCTACTCAGATTCCTATTTGTCCAGTTGGGAAGAGTCCCTGCCCAGACTTGCAGCAGTTAATTACAGGACAAGAGGCACCTTTCTCGCAAGATTCCATACGCAGATGCAGCACATGCTCCTGACACCCTAAAATTCGACAGTCATCTGCAGCTCAGATGGTGCAAGATCAATCAAGAGCAGATAATTTATACTGCTTGATATTTTCCCCAGGCTTCGCTTCTGTTCTTCATATCTAGTTCGGATAGCGAAGAAAGGCGAGGAAGCATGCGGGGGGACTTGTATTCCCTAGAGCAAATGTTCTGCTGAGCTTCCCCAGTGCGTATTTATTTGCACCAAGGAATTATGTTAGTATCAAAGTATCAGTCAGAAGCACTCAATGAGGCATTCTGACACGATTTACAGTTATCTGCAAAGCAAAGCTGACTAAGATCTTCTGATACTAGTCCAGCTCTGTCTGAATCAAAAGCTGAAGCCTCTACCTATTCCCTGCTGCCCAGGGAGTGTGACAAGGCTGACAATCTGTCATGCTTTTTATATAAAGCCCAGCACAAAGGGAACCTCTGGCATCACTGCAAAGTGATTTGCATTCCAAATGACTCAACTGGGAACCGGCAAAGTGCTACTGCTGCTTCTGACCCTGCGAGAGCCAAGGAGAACTGCAGAAGAGAAAAATAAATTGTGTCTGTTTAACATCTTGAAGCTCAGTGGCAACTGGGACTTGGTTCATCCATATTTTTGTCAGGGGCATCACCCTAAATAATTTTAGCAAAAGCTCCCTGTTTGAGAACAATTGGGGACAGGAGGAGACACCGACTCATTTATTTTAAGCACCTTGAATCCTTGCATTTCTGAACCTTAAGCAGAAGAAAAATCCTCAGGTGAACACAGAAAGACTAACAATGTTTGTAAAAGTTAGAATATGGTCTTACTACATAATCTTATGCAAAGCAATACTCTCCTCAGCGAAGAACACAGTGTCCAGAGAAAAGAAGATGGCATGCTAATGGTAACTAAAGCCAATGAACTACACACTCAACCGTAGATGACAAGCTAGGACAGACAGCAGGCATAAATATTGACGCCTCTAAGTATAAATCATTTAATTGCTATAATCCAAACCCAGACAGCTCTTTCTAGCTTGCAACTTTACCATGTGCATCTTTAATTAGGTTATATAACTGTATGTATGAAAAGGGATGAAGTTGCAATTAATCATTAAATCTATGTAATATTACATTGGGAGAGGAGAAGAAAGAAACTTGAAAGCTGAGAAGACACTAAAAACAAGAAGATGGGGAAAAAAGCAACATCCAGAAGTTTCCTGTAAAGCTCCTAAGAAAACTGCTTTGCTCTCTCACTAACCTACCCATGTCTCCTAGCACTTCTAAAAGAGCACATTTAGAAAGTCAAGAGAAAGTAATCTCAAAGCAGAAGTACTAGTCTCACCACAAGCAAGTAATTGTTTCCTTTTGTGTTTGTTTTGTTGATTCTTGACTACCAAATGTTTGCCCAAAGCTCAGAATATGGACAACTATGGCCAGGATACCAAGCTAAAGAAAGGCATGGTTCAAAGAGCAGACTTCAGATATCTTTGATCCATCTACCACCATCTTAGAGGATGCAGGGAATGGCAGGCTGGCAAAGTGCAACTGCCAAACAGCTGATTTTTATTTTTTTTCCTCTCCTCAGGCTTGTGAACAGCCCAAGCAGCTGTTTAGTTAATACTCAGGGAGAAGGACAGGTGAGACAATTCCTCCTGGGCATCTGAGCAACCTGGCACCGAACTGCTGCTACTGCTGCAATGCTTCAACCACCTTCTTGCAGATGGGAAACGTGTGGCAAATGTGGAACCACCTGCAAGAGGCACCGAACTACTTTGATTTGATGTAACAAGGTTTGCAGAGAACTGATAATTAAGTCAGATACTCAAAACAAAGGCTATTTTCAGCTCAATTCCCTAAGTCTTCGACAGTGCCTGCTGATGCTGCAGACACAGCATGAAGCAGATAGACCACGCTCATCTCATGCTTGTGAAAGAGTATCGTTCTCTCTTTAAATAGCAGACAATTTTAAATTGTAACTGAATCCTTTCATGACTTCATTCTGAAAAACCTAAACTTAACAGACATTTAGCTGAATAATTACAGTGGTGGAAATTTCAGAGTACTTTCTTAAAAAAAGCAAACAAAATCCCCACCTTCCCAATAAAGGTAAAGAATGGTGCACTGTCACTTGCAGGCTGGATTCAGGGAGTGATTCAGACACTGAAATGTCACTGCCAATTTGACTGCAACAATCAGAACATCATAACGATAATGTAATTGGAAATAAAACTGCCCATCTTCACAAACCAGAGTTCCCTATTCTTCTATTAAAATCCTGTAACTGTATGCTAAGCATTTCTGAACATGTTATATCAGAAATAAAAATACAGCATCACACGCTATTCAGTACCCAGGAAAAGGGATCAGTCCTATTACTGTGAGTGACAGATTTCTTGGAATAACATTAAGTAACAGTGAAAGCACTCCAACAGAATTTGGGAGCCCACAAAATGTCAAAAAAGAAAACAGGAAAGCACAAATGAAGTGCTATGGTTATAGATGAAGTTTTGAGACACCGATGGAGAGTTCTGTGGAAACACCAGAAGACATCTGCGCTGGAAGGGAGCAGAGGCAGAAGCAAGAATTACCCCTACAAGGTAAGGGATTTAGCCACAGAGGATATAATCCATGGAAGCCACAAGGTGATGAAATGGGAAAAGGCATACTAAGCTGTATGCAAAGCTGCACTGCTAGAAAAGGTGGGCTTGGGGAGCACCGCTTTTAAATATAAATTCCATAGTACTTAATAATGTTGGGGAAAAATACACAAATTATTCATATACCTTAGAATTTTAGTCTGAGAGAAGACAGAGGAATTCATCTTGAAGAGTAAGTCCTACATTCTAAAACAGGCTTTTGGAAAAGCCGACACCAAGAGG